TTATTAAGATGGTATTATTGATTAAAAATATAGGTATCGTATTAGATTTTTTTTTAACGTCTATTATATTATTATTAGATTATTAGAGATAGTTGTTTTTTAGTTAAAATATGATTAAAAAAAAAATTTACTCCCTCTATTTCTTAATAAGTATTGATTCAGCAAAAAAAATTGTTTTATTTTATTTGTTATTTTCAATTTTCAATGTAAAATTTATTATTATTTTATTATTTTTGACTCTTGAATTTTTGTCGTTTGTTTTTTTTTGTTAGTTGAATTGTTTTTATACTAATTACAAATATATTTTAAAATAGAAAAACTAAAAAATTAAATGATTTCTTAATCTATGTACCAAAACCTAAAGTTATAATTAAACTAAAACAGAAAGTTAGAAAGAGTATTAGTTTTATGATATTTTTGGAAACACTTGTTTTATGATTTTTTTTTTTTTTTGAATGAATGTAAAATTTATTCACCAAAAAAAACCGTGTTTACACCAAGTGCGACTTTGCTGAAAGTAGAGTAGATAATTTAAAGTTCTTGAACTTCTAAAATACACTTAAGATCGAGTTGAAAACCATGAGATAAGAAGATCTTCATATCTTCGATTGCCCGAGTTTCGAAGAAGAAAAATCCGGTTGCGGATGGTCTTATCAATGAGTTTATCCAGGTGGGTGGCTGTTCTTGGACTTTCTCCATGTCTTCGATTATTTCTTTCTCTCCATAATGAATAAACTGTTGTTTGAAGTGCATACCTTAGGAGTAGCAGGCAATGTCGTTCTAAGCTTGCGTTGGAGATGAGAGAGGTGAGTTGGTTCCAGTCCGAGGTGTATTGATCTCTCAGTAATCCCTTTGATAGTTTTTCCCATATTTGATTCGAGTAAGGGCATTGAAAGAAGATATGATTCCTCGTTTCCAGAGTTGCTTGACAGAACATACAAGAGAAGTCAATTCCTCGATTCCACTTCATCATACGATCTCCCGTTGTTAGACGATTATGCATCCCCAACCATGTGATGAACGCGTGTTTTGGCGTGGCTTGGGAGAACCACACCCCTCTGGCCCATTCGCAGACTGGTTTCGGAGCTCGGATTAGTTTCCAAGTTTCACTGGTTGAGAATTTCTGTTTAAACCCTGATCCTCTCTTCCACAAATTCACATCCTCTAAATCTGGTTTGTGTTTGGATTTCACCTTTTCTATTTCAGTTTCAATTCTGGTCAGTATTTCCACGCGGTGCCTTTTGCTCCGGCGATTTGTTAGCACATCTCCCATCATTGTATGCTTGGTAATCCCCAGGTCTATACATCCTCTATCACCCAAGATGTCAAACAATGTTCCCATAGAAGACCAATGATCGAACCAAAACGAGGTGTTCTTTCCGTTTTTGATTTTCATCTTGTGAAATACCTTAGCCGTCTCTCTCATCTTAAGTATCTTTCTCCACATCCAAGATCCCTTGTAAGACGTTTCTTTTAAAGCCCAAAACGATTTTTCCCGAATCAGATAGGTGTGTACCCATCTTCCCCAGAATGATGTTGGATGAGCAAGTAACCTCCAAATTAGTTTAAGACCACAAACCATATTTGTTTCCTTTAGTGGCCTGAGACCTAGACCCCCTTCACACGTAGGAAGACAAACATCTTGCCAAGATATTTTTGCATTTGTTGTCTTCAACTCTGGCCCACTCCATCAGAAAGCAGAGCATAGTCGTTCCACCTCTTTCATACATTTCCCTGGTAACCGGAAAGCTGACGACCAGAAGTTGGTGATGCTTGTTAAGACTGATCGTATGAGCTGTAATCTTCCCCCGTAAGATAAGAATCTGCTCGTCCATGAACTTATTCTGCTTCTTATTTTCTCGATCAATGGTAAGTAATCTTGGCTAGTCATTGCTTTGGTCAGCAATGGTAGACCAAGGTAACGCACCGGTAGTTGTCCTGATTCGAAAGGAAAGTGAGTTCTAATTTCTTCCTGCATGGCCTGCGGTATCCCTGCCATAAATAAAGTGGACTTCTCAACACTGATTTTCAGGCCTGACCAACTAGCAAACTCATCAAATATTGAGATAACTCCTTCGATTGATCTTTTGGTTCCTTCAGCAAAAACCATAAGATCGTCTGCAAAGCATAGATGTGTTAGAAGAAGATTGTGACATCTAGGGTGATAGCCGAATCTGCCTTCTACGGCTGCCTTATTTATCAAGTGAGAGAGAGCGTTCATACAGATCACGAACAAGTAAGGTGAAAGAGCACATCCTTGTCGCAGTCCCCGTTTGGTCCGAAAAAAACCCGCTAGTTCACCATTCACTTGAACTGAGAACGATGCAGTCGTTACACAAAGCCGTATCCAATGAATATATTTTTCTGGAAAGTGCAAAGCCTGTAGCGTATTGAGTAAGAAGGACCACTGGACATAGTCAAACGCCTTTGATATGTCAATTTTCATTGCACAACGGGGAGAAATGTTCGCCTTGTGATAATCTTTGACCAGCTCAGATGCTAATAGTACATTCTCCATAAGTAACCGATCCTTTACGAAAGCAGTTTGATTAGGAGATATGATTTATGGGAGCAAAGCTTTAAGGCGATTGGCCAAGATCTTCGAGATGACTTTATATAAGACGTTGCAGCAAGAAATGGGTCTGTAATCCTTCATAACCTTTGCTTCTTCTTTCTTCGGAATTAGAGCAAGGATCGTAGTGTTCACACCCTTAGGGAGAAAGCCTTTGATGAAAAATGATTGAATCGCCACTGTGAAGTCTTTCCCTATGATTGGCCATGCACTTCTAAAGAATTCAGTACTATACCCATCCGGCCCCGGACTTTTATTTGCTGGCATTGAGAATAGTACCTTCCTTACTTCTTCATCTGTAACCTCATGCTACATCGAAACGGGAGTAAAGCCTCAAGACTCTCGACTGTTGTACCTTCATAATCCTCCGGGATATGTCCTAGGAACTCAGAGAAAAACTGAACCGCTTCATGTTTAATCTCCTCTTGACTGGTTGCAAGTGAACCATCCTCACGTTGTATCTCTCTAATGGCATTTTTAGCTTCGCGAATCTTAACTGCATTATGGAAAAACTGGTTATTCTGGTCACCCACGTCTAGCCAGTGAAGCTTTGATTTTTGGCGTAAAAAACTTTCTTCAAGTTCAGCTAGGTTTTTCCATCTCTCATAAGCCTCTGCTTCTCCCTGAATGGTATCCACAGTTGGATGGGTCTGAGTCTCTTCTTGCTTAGAACACAGCTCCGTATATGCAGCTTTTGTTTTCTTCGTCAATTCCCCAAGTCTATCCCGACTCAAGTTTCTGATATCTGGTTTTAGACCCTTTAGTTTTTTTGCAAACCTATACATCGCTGACGTTGATGGGAATAATGTCTCTGTGTTAGCCCAAAAAGACTGTATAAGAGGCAGAAATTCCGGCATGGTTGCAATAACATTTGCAAACTTGAAAGGTCGCTTTGGAGAAGGCTGTCCCATTTTTAACTGAATTCTACAACGCAGATGGTCTGAACACCCGCCTGCCTCAAAGACACAATACGCTTGCGAGAATTGATGGAGCCATGTATCGTTTATGAGGACCCGATCCAACTTTTTGCTTATCAAGCCTTCCTCTCTTTTGTTACACCAAGTAAATATGGGGCCGTGAGATCCCATATCCGTCAATGCACAATGTCGTACAACATCTTGAAAGTCTCGCATACCAGCTGGTATACTAGGTGAGTGTACAAAAGCAGAGTGTTCCTCCCCATCCAAAATCTCATTAAAGTCTCCCATGATAATCCATGATTTGTTCTTAAACATTTGAGAATCTCTATGATTCCTCAGGTCGTCCCATAGACTTTTCCTCTCCTCTGCAAGGTTTTTTGCATATACAAAAGAACAAAAAAACTCCTCCTGCTCACCATCCATCAAAACAGAACAAGTTATGATTTGATCACTTTTGTAGACTGGAGTTAACCGTACCGTAGCTCTCCGGAGAACCCAAATGCGACCTAATCGATGAAATTCATAATTTGCCATAAATGACCAGTCTCTGAATACAGAAGATACTATTCGATCTGCTTTCTTCTCCTTGACTCTCGTCTCCAATAAGCAGCCAAATTGCATATCCTTATTTTTTGTCCAGTTATGGACTACGGAATGTTTAATAGATTTGTTAAAACCGCGCACATTCCATGAGAAGCACGTCATTTATAGATTTCTTCGGGTGGACCTCTTGCTCGAAGTAACTGAGATCGAGTCCTTAGTTACATGAGTTGAAGTCGCCGAAGTGCCCTTTTTTTTTCTTGTAGACCCGTGTAGCTGGAGGATTCACCACACCCTCTGCTCCCACTTTCACTACATCTTCCTGAATCTGAACTGTTTCCCCATTTTTCTCCACAGTGTTAATTTCCTCTTCCTTACCTTCTGCGTTTTCTCTAATTTCTCCTTCTTCCTCCTCATCCACACTAAGAACTGCGAACTTCGATGCTGAAGCAACTGGTAACGCTGTATTCTGTTATAAAACAAAGTCTTTATTTGGACTACGACTCGCCTTAGAAGGCGACACTGTGGTCCACTGGTCTGTGTCGTCCCCATTTGCATCCACTATATTGGTACTAGCTTCTTGACTCATTTCTGTAGTAACTTTCTCTGCCACTTGCTCTGTTTCTATACTTGCACCCTTTTCCAATACTATGCTTAAATTAGGAACCTCCTGACTGCTTATCTCCACAAGGGACTTGCTTTCTATGGCTTTAGGTACTTCCTGGCTGCTTATCTCTGACTTCTTTAAATTTGCCACACATCTAGTTTCCAGGTGACCCCATTTATCACATATGGTGCATCGCGGAGGCAGCCATGGATAGCTGAAGTCAACCCAAAAATCTGTCCCATTCTTAGAGAAACATATATTTTTAGTGAGATATCTTGTTTAATTAACTTTCTATATCATTAACTGCATCAACAAACCACAAGCATGAATTCCTCACTAATCATTTTGGATTTTATTATTCATTAGGTGTATCGCTTAAGTAATAAGTACGGAATCAAAAACATTCCACTTTTCTGACAGAAAAGAAAAAAAGAAAGAAAAAAAAAAGTCGAACGCGAGAGGAAGAAGATGATGAAGCCAAAATGGGAATCAATCTCTAATCTTCAACAAAACACATTTCTCATAAAACTCGTCGCCGCTACGCTTATAACTTGTCTCGCTTTTCGTTTCTTCGTCTTCCGTTTCGGCCAATTTTCCCCAGTTCAAGTGTCGGTGAACGGAAACTCCAATTCCCAGATTTCTCCGCCGTCGTTTATCATATCGGATAATGAAGATCAAATTCCCGTCGGTAAGATTTCAGTCATTGCAAAAAAAAAAAAAAAAATTTACGATTTCGCTGTGTATAATTTGGTTAAGCTTGTTTTAAGGGAAAGTTCTGAGATCTAGGCCTGTAGTGCCGGTGCCGTACATCTCCCTCAGGCCAGAGACCAGAGCATTTTATATGGTCTTCTCGCAAGAGATCTAGGGTTTTTAAAGAAAGTTTACTATCAAGAACTTTAGTTTCTTAAACTTAGTCAAATTGTTTGTGATGCTAAGAATTTGTTTTAGGTGATGCTAAGAATCTGTTTTGGTTTATCAGATATTGAGGTGGAGAAGTGTGATCTTTTTACTGGGAAATGGATTAAAGATCCTTTGGGACCGATATACACGAATGAGTCGTGTGGTATCGTTGTAGACGGTCACCAGAATTGCATTACTAATGGGAGGCCTGATTCGGGTTTTCTCTACTGGAAATGGAAGCCTAATGACTGTTCCTTGCCTCGGTTTGATTCTCTGAGATTTCTGCAACTTATGAGGAATAAATCTTGGGCTATAATCGGTGACTCCATTGCGCGTAATCATGTCGAGTCTTTGCTTTGTATGCTATCTATAGTAAGGTTTTTAACGGTTGCTTGCTATCTATTTGCAGACTTGAAAATGAATAAGAGTTGTGATTGACAAGTGTTGTTTGTTTTCCATGTTATCAGGTTGAGAAACCGGTTGAAGTGTATCATGATGAGAACTACAGATCGAAGCGTTGGTATTTCCCGTTATATAACTTTACAATATCCAACATTTGGTCACCTTTTCTTGTTCAAGCTGCTATTTTTGAAGACTCAAATGGTGTCTCATCAGCTGCAGTCCAGCTTCATCTTGACAAACTCGACAATACTTGGACTGATCTATTTCCGAGCCTTGACTATGCGATCATCTCTTCAGGGGAATGGTTCCTGAAAACCGCGGTCTACCATGAGAATGCTAATCCCGTCGGATGCCATGGCTGCCCGGAAAGTTCGAATATGACTGATTTAGGATTCGACTATGCTTACAATACGTCGCTGCGTCATGTTATGGACTTCATAGCAAAATCTAAAACTAAAGGCATGATCTTTTTCCGGACTTCGATACCCGATCACTTTGAAGATGGGGAATGGCATAACGGCGGTACTTGTAAGAAAACAGAACCAGTGAGCGAGGAGGAGGTTGAGATGAAAGTTCTGAACAAGATCTTGAGAGATGTTGAGATTGTTCAATTCGAGAGAGTGGTTACGGAGACTGGGAATCTTAAGCTTCTTGATTTTGCTGGAATGTTGCTGACACGACCCGACGGGCATCCGGGTCCATACCGAGAGTTTAGGCCGTTTGATAAGGATAAGAACGCAAAGGTACAGAACGATTGTCTGCATTGGTGCTTGCCTGGTCCAATTGATCACTTGAACGATGTCATATTGGAGATCATAGTGAATGGTCGAACCGGGAAGTAACCAGTTTACTTGTGTATCTTAGTCAATTGCTAAATTGGATGAATTTAAAACAGAGGTTTGGTATATAGGTCATGTAAATTGGTAAACTTGAAGAGATTTGGTTAACAGCTAAAGCTTCTAGTGAACCGGATAGAACCCCGTAGTTGAATGGGAAAACCGGTTCGGTTTATGAAAGCAAATTCTTCTTATGGATCAATTTATATAGAGTAGTTTGAGATTCCGATAAAATGTAAATTTTCTGGAAATGGTTTTTGTTTAGTCGAATGGTCAAAATTCCAAAAAAATATTCAAATAAAAATAGTGATCTAAACCGGTTTAGTAAGTTGGTTTGGTGAGTAATTTTGTCATATTGTTATTTGTTCATTTCCCTAATATTTGTTTAATGCTAATAAAAATAAGTTATGAACTTATGATTATCGATACATAATCTTTTGCTGAAACAAATAATCTTTTCATGACTTGGGACACAATAATTCACAACAAAACTAATCATCTTATCAACTATAAGAAGAATCAAACTAAGAATTCTTTTGATTAGAGAGATTAAATACAATTAAGTGATGGAATTAGTGAAATATGTAAATATATACCAGAAGACAGGTAACTCTGTGAAAATAGTAAAATTAAACACAGAGCTGTTAAATTCTGGCCAGTTTAATATTTGCTCCGGAAACTTGAACATCTCTCACTTTATTATATCTAAGAGAGTTCACCATTATGAAGCAATTCCAATTCCAATCCCAAACCCAATTCAATTTCTCAATAAGATCGGAATTTTCTCACAACAAGATATAACGATGGCGACAAAAGAAGCCATCGGATCTGAGGTTTGTCAATTCGAACGAATCATAATTCGCAATCAAAATACAAAGACCGCAACGACTTTCGAAAGCGATCTAAACCAAATTCGCAACAACAAGAAGAAAAATACAAAACGAAAATTACGAAGATGAAGAAGATAAATATATTACGGCGGTGGAGACATACTGAGATTTAAAGTTAGGGTTTTGGTTTTATAGAGTTGACGAACGGTGTGTCAAATTTAGGGAAAGGCCTTAATGGGCCTTGAACTTTAGGCCCATATCTTAAAACGGCAAGGCGTTAGATTTATTAGATGTTTTTTTTTTTTTTTTGGTCGAAACAGTTTTGAATTCCAAAATTTCGACCGTTCAGGCTTTTTTTTTCTATAAACCCAGAGGCTCCACGAATTCTCAAAACCCTAAATCTCAAAATCTCCATTCCTCTCTCGCTCTCGCTTAATCTCTTTTTACTATGGCGACAGTTTCCTCAGATCCTGCTCCGGCGAAGAAATCGAGAAACAGTAGAAAAGCGTTGAAGGAAAAGAATGAGATCGTCGAGAGTCATCACCATTGTTGTCACCAATCTCAACCAAGGGGAAAGAAACGAAATCGTTTGAGAAAGATCTGATGGAGATGCAAGCAATGTTGGAGAAGATGAAGATCGAGAAGGAAAAAACTGAGGATTTGCTGAAGGAGAAGGACGAGATCCTGAAGAAGAAGGAAGAAGAACTCGAGACGAAGGACGTGGAACAGGAGAAACTTAAGACGGAGTTGAAAAAACTGCAGAAGATGAAAGAATTCAAGCCTAACATGGTACGAATTTCTAGATCTAGCTCTGATTCTTCTTCACTTGTACTTAGCAGATTAGGTTAATCTTAATGCGTGTAGGATCTTGTTGATTATTGATTCGCTTATTGTTGAATTGATTCAGAGATGATTTTGTGATTTGGTGATTGATTTGGGAATATTTATGTTGCTTCTTCAGAGTTTTGCTTTTAGTCAATCTATGGCACAAACTGAAGAAGATAAGAAGGGGAAGAAGAAGAAGACGGATTGTGTTGAAAGAAAGAGACCATCGACACCATATATTTTGTGGTGTAAGGATAATTGGAACGATGTGAAGAAGGAGAATCCTGAAGCTGATTTCAAGGAGACTTCGAATATTCTTGGTGCTAAGTGGAGGACTCTGAGTGTAGAAGAGAAGAAGTTTTATGAGGAGAAGTATCAGGTTGATAAGGAAGCTTATCTTCAGGTTATTACAAAGGAGAAGCGCGAAAGGGAAGCTATGAAGCTTCTTGATGATGAACAGAAGCAGAAAACTGCTATGGAATTGCTTGATCAGTATCTTCACTTTGTTCAGGAAGCTGAACAAGACAACAAGAAAAAGGCCAAGTAATGATATTGATTCCATAATTTCACTCAAGAGAACTGATTTGTTATGAATGATATGAATGATAGGTAATCTTGTATTTGTAGGAAGATAAAGGATCCCCTGAAGCCTAAACATCCAATATCTGCATACCTGATCTATGCTAACGAGAGGAGAGCTGCTTTAAAAGGAGAAAACAAAAGCGTTATTGAGGTAAGTAAAAGAATTCGAAGTTGTCTTTTCTCAATGTCATTTGAAACTCTTGAATCTAAGTTGTTAATGATGTTTATAGGTCGCAAAGATGACTGGAGAAGAGTGGAAGAACTTGTCGGAAGAACAAAAGGCTCCTTATGATCAGGTTTAGTTCATCCATACTCATCATAGACATTTGCTGTGTCAAGAAGTGAAAAGTTAATAAAGCGATGTTCTAATGTAACAGATGGCAAAGAAGAAAAAGGAGATATACCTACAAGAAATGGAAGGATATAAAATAACAAAGGAAGAAGAAACCATGAGCCAGAAGAAAGAAGAAGAAGAACTCATGAAACTCCATAAACAAGAAGCTCTTCAACTTCTCAAGAAGAAGGAAAAAACCGACAATATCATAAAGGTTACTAATAAACTCACAATGCATTTAGCTATTTTGAGCTAAACCAGTCACTAACGCAACACATGTTTCTTTCTTGCAGAAGACGAAAGAGATGACCAAGAACAAGAAGAAGAACGAGAAGGTTGATCCTAACAAACCCAAAAAGCCTGCTTCTTCATACTTTCTCTTCTGGTATATACTTAAAACCCTGAATCCACAAAACAATCACATCCCAAATTGGTTTTATAATCTCAAATCTTTTTACAGCAAAGAAGCAAGAAAGAGTGTGTTAGAAGAACATCCTGGGATCAACAACTCAACTGTTACTGCCCACATTTCATTGAAATGGAAGGTATATAAATCATGAAACCCGAATCCAACGAGTACGATTTTATTATCTTTAATTGTGAAATTGAGTTGGTTTTGGTACAATCTTGTTGTAGGAACTTGGTGAAGAAGAGAAACAAGTTTACAATGGCAAAGCTGCTGAGTTAATGGAAGCTTATAAGAAAGAAGTGGAAGAGTACAATAAGACCAAGACGTCGTCGTAGAGAAAGAAAAATGAGAATGTTCAAGTATGCTCATATTGAACATCTCTACTTTATGCAACAAAAAAAAAGACTCTGCTTTTTAAAAAAATTTAGGATTTGAACATTAAGAATTCGTAAGGTTTTACAATTAGTATCAAATTAAAAAAAAAAATCTTTATTTTTCTTTAGTCTCTCACTATATTAATCTCAAGAATATTCAGTACTTTAGTTAAATCGAATTGTGTAAAAAAGTGGGGAAGCCTGTGTTAATCTCAGCCGTTGGATCGAAATGAAAATCAACGTCGAAGATTGGAGAACTTCCTGTGGAGGTATTAGTAGAGATCAATCCTGTGAAATCTGACGGAGCAGAGCTTCCCACGTGGCATAACGTTCCACCGTTGATGGACTCGTAAGTGTAAAACGGCGACGTAACAGGGAATGAGAAAGTGGAGGCTTCAAGTCCGTTGGTACGTACGGTGAGATTGGTCCTGAGATTGTCGACGTTATTTTGATAATTTACAGCTACTGTATGGTTTGGTTTAGTTTCTTGTATTTTTGGAGGTGGGATCCCCTGTGAGCAAGTGTGTGTTCCTCTGTATGTTACTTCGAAGATCGTTGGATCACCGTCCGATCTTTGGACTTGTTTTGTAGCCCAACAGTACTGTGTGTTACGAAATGTGCATCTGTAATAACTCCTGCAACAACAAAAAACACAAAAAAAATTAGTCGATTATTTTCATAAATATAATTAGGACTTTCCATTTTCGGGCAATTACCAAAAAAAATTTGTATAAGTTAACTGAATAACCAGGGCCGGTCCAATAGATATGGCTGCCCAAAGCATTGGACAACTTATAGAGGCTAACCACTGCACTACGTAACATTTTATGAGAATGATGCCCTTAACTACTATATATAACATTTGGCGCCTAAAACAAGAGCTTTACCATCTTTAGCTCAGGGCCGGCCCTGTGAATAACCATTAGAAACTAAAAAGAAAAATTTTAAAATAAATTAAAACTTTTATTATAAATTCTCGAAATATCTAATGTGACTCTCATACAGTAAAATTCAGATAGTGTAAAATCTTTATCCGATCTGTATCCACTATCGTATAAAATTAATCTAAACTTTACCATAAAAACTATTCGATCGGAACTTATATCCATTGTTATCCAATCTTATAATCGAAATGTACAATTCTTAAAATATGATGGTGTTGATTATTACCTTGGATATTTGGCGCCCAAAATGTCTTTTTGGCCATATTTTCTCCAGCTGAAGACACCATCATGAGGTCCTTCTAAGCCTCTCTCTGGGCTAATTCTTACTTGCTCTGTCCACTTTGGCAACATCTTCCTGCAAATTTTCATTATTATCAGATCCCTAATAAAAAAAAAAAAAAGATAAAAATACTGATAAATTTTATTTATTTTATAATTTTTGAATTCTGGTAAGTTTTACTTTCTTTCTTTTATTATTAAATAATCCCAAAATAAGTTCAAATTTTTGTTTACCTCTTTTTAGAACTTAAGTTGCAATCTTTCGATCCCACATCGAAAAGCTCTTCGCTTCTCAGACTTTCGGTGATGGATGCTGGAGATTCTGGAACCTTACCGGGATTAGCTAGGAGATCCAGCGCAAGCTCCGTCGTTGGAATGTGTTGTGTGGTGGATCCGTTTAGCATCAAAATAGCTTTCTCCAAGGAAGAAACTATGTTATGTAAGAGAGTCTCCTTCATCTCCATCGTCAAAGATGAAGTTGATGGCGAAGGCGAAGGCGAAGCCTGAAGCTGCTTTGCCGCTTTTAGTCCATGAATCAGCTCGTTTAGCAAATTTCTCTGCTCCCAATTCATCATTTCCATGTTAATTACCTTACCAAAATGGTAATTTGGTCACTTTCAGTGTCTTGGGTGATTTCGAAAGCCGGTTAAACCCCGGTTTTGCGGTGACCGGAAGAGGTAGTTATGAATTTCTTGGAAAAACTTTTGACACTGAAGGTGAAGAAATGTGATAGCTTTTAACTTTTTATGGTAAGGTTTAGATTAAGAACATGTGATTGTGGTATAGGAGAAAGATGTGAGATTTTTGGTATTTGAATGATGAGAATGTGTTAAACCAAGCGTGTTCTTTTGGAATTTAAAGGTTTTAAATTTGATGTGTTTGAAAATTTGACCAAGTTATCAAACTACAAAATAAAGAGGAAAAGAGATTCAAAGTTGAGAAAGTCTTTGGTCCTCATTAGAGAATATATAGATTCAGAGTGTCTAAGTGGTGGTGTTTACTATAGGTCAAATGCTGACCAATTCAAATTTGGATTTATTTTACTTTAACCAAGTTGATTAGTTATTTAAATTCAGTGGTTCACTAAATAATACATAAAAATTAAGATATAAATAACTGTAGTTAAGGTTCTTTTCAATATTTATGTGCAAAAAAGTATTATTACATGATTTCTATTTTTGTAGCAACAACCTTTCCTTGTATCACTTTTGTTTTTTAAATCTTTTTTTTTTTTCTAAATCATATTTCTTCTTCATATATTTTTTTTTTTTGAAAAAGAAAACATCAATTTTCCAACCGAGCTATTATACTTTTTATTCTTCTTCATATATTCTACTGGATTTAAATATGAATTATAGCATAGCAGTTATAGCACAAACTATTATATACCAAAGCTCAGTTATACTGTATAATACAGTTATCTTATTCATTTATCATATATTTTAACAAAGCTGATTCACTATTTAACTAATGAACAAAATCAGGATGAGCTAACTAGTAAGTTCTACAGTATTTTGTCACTCTAATTTCTAACATTTAAGGGATGTAGAGGAAATTCCACAATGATTTATCTTATTCATTTTATCATATATATCTGTATTCATAATTTAATACAAGATCGTAAAAAAAGGTTTCTGCTGACCAAGTCCATCGTCAAAGACTCAAAGTACACATCAAATTAAACAAAGAAGTTCCATCTAAAATTCCATATCTCATGATTGATACGTAACTTTACTGCCATTAATTGATGTTTGTCTTAATGGACTTGGCAGATTATTTTTTGCTTTAACATATTGAAAATATTCGTTTCATAACTAAGTCCACATACGTGTTGTGTCAAGTTGAATACACTATGTGACATTGTCTCTTAATGGACTTGGCAGATTATTTTTTTTGCTTTAACATATTGAAAATATCGTTTCCATAACTAAGTCCACATACGTGTTGTGTCAAGTTGAATATACTATATGACATTGTGATGCATAGTGTAAACTATAAACAAATATTTAGGGTCAAAGTATACTTATTTCGAGTTAATATATATGGCTACAAAATGTGTCTTTAGTCTGTGATACTACTACAGATATATTGCTCTTATTAGACCATCTCCAATCGTTAGCTCTATTTCTTATTCTAAATTTGGAGTGCTCTAAATTTGGAGTGCTCTAAAAATAGAGCAGAGGTTTGCTCCAATAGTTGGTTCTATTTTTGCTCCAAAATAAATATTCTATTTTAATATTTTGTTTTAATTCTTCACATATTCCTTTATTTTTAAAGTTTGCGAATTCTATCCACTTAGTTTATTTTTAAGCAAATATCTAATATAACCATATTATTAAAAATTAAATTTTATTACAATACATAAATAGAAGATCGAATGCTTAATATATTTTTATTTAAGCATCATCATTAGTGGAACCGGAAGCGATCTACCGGATTATTAAATCAATTGTTTATGGTATGTTAAGTTTTTTTTAACGACAAGTTTAATCGTTTTATGTACTTTTAGTTTATCATTTGTGATGGCATTATTTTCTAATTTAATATATGTTATTTTTATTATTCTAAATTTCAATTAATTTAGTAACTATGATTTTTAATATAAAATTATGTATACTTATAATTTTGTGTAGCTATAATATGATGCTATATTAAAATTGAGGGAGTACTTTGTAAATAAAAAAATGGCTCTAAAAATAGAGATATGAATAGTGTTTCTCCAAATTGGAGCAACACTATTCATATCTCTATTTTTAGAGCAAGATATAGAGCACCATTGGAGTGATTTTGATCCAAATATAGAGTTTGGAGCAAGATATAGAGCACCATTGAAGATGCTCTTAGTGACTAAAATATTACATTAGTTACATTTACATCTAAAGATTTGCACACAGAAAAAATTACATCCAAAGATTAATTCTCCTTTTCATCTTCCTCATCACACCTCTCTCTCTCTCTCTCTTTCTTCACTCTCAACACTTGGGCTCCGAATGGTACTCCGGCTTAGGCGTGACTCCGATTTAAGTGTGGGAACGATGTAGTTTGGATGCGGCGTGATTAATCAAATTTATGAATAGTAATAAGATTTGGGTACGATCCGTTTACCCTATATTTTCGAATGATAAAACGATTTAGGTGCGATTAGATAATAACTCATGAAAACACGAATCATATTTTCTTGATAGAAACGTGGAAAATAATTTTAACTGAAAAAAAAAATCCAATTTCACCTGAAAGTACGGAAAGAAACATGATTACATGAATTTAGCAAAAAAAAAAAAAAATCATAATCTAGCAAATTCACGTTTTCACGTTTTGGCGAGAAAACATAAAAAAATTTCGTTTTGATGAAAAACGCGGAATCCCGTTTTTGGCGGGAAAATACGAAATCACGTTTTTGGCAAAAAAGAATGTGGAATCAATTTTTTGGCGGGAAAGCACGGATCACGATTATGGCGAGAAAATGTGGAATCACACTTTTGGCGGGAAAACGCGAAATCATGTTTTTGGCGTAAAAATGTGGAATCAAATTTTTGGCAGAAAAACGCGGAATCACGTTTTTGGCGGGAAAATATAGAATCACGTTTTTGGCGGAAAATTATAGAATCACGTTTTGGCTAGAATCGTGTTTACACTAAAATAAAATTGTGCATTTTACGCCAAAAACGTGATATCGTACTTTCCCGCCAAAACGTGATTCTGTGTTTTTTCTTCAGAAACGTGGGATAAAATAATTAATTATATTTAATCACACTAATCCCTGGATAAAACAAGAATTTCAATTTTGAAAGTGATAATGAACTTAAATATATAATTAAATATATTTAATATAATCAAACA